GAAGAGTTTGTCGCGTATATTCTGTATTAGCCATGAATTATTTGCTGAGTTTTGAAGTGCATCAATGGTTGATTTACTATCACTACATATTATATGTTTGTCTCCTGTTGATGAGGCGAATAGAACCGCTTCGTAAATTGCTGCAGCTTTGATCGTCTGTTGCCGGGTCGTATGCAAACATCCAAAATTTATCGCCGGTAAAAATACGTTTCATGACATCATAGTAGTCGGAAAGCATTGTTTCATAGACGTTAACGCGACGACTAATTTTTTTGTTGACTGGCAATTTTTCACTATATAATATTATATTAATATTGTCGCCTTCAAGTATTACATATGAGGAGAAAAAATAATATTAACTTGGCCCCAACTTAACACTTTCTTACTCCGGCTTCAAATATAAATTTATGTAAGTACAGAGTTTTTCTTTCAAGTTTCAATGACAAAAAGCAAAGAGATTCCATTGCGAGTATTTTACAACAATTCTTAAAGAACCCTCACTCAGTTTTGGGGTTCGCTGAACCCAAATATAGTATATAACATTATATTGTACAATTATACGAATATGCATGTACATACACACATATATACGATATATACACATATAACTGTTTATTTAATGCTGAAGTACCGTAAAATTGGAATATTGTACGTTTGAGCATCCTTAACGGCGGTACACCGCTGTGCGAACCGTTCCACTAATATAGCGTTGTGTGTGTATAAAGCCAGAGGCAGAGTTCGTGACAAATACACTTCAGCCATTGATGATAAGTATCCATTCTCATTCTTCTATAAACTTGATTTACTTACAAATAAACGCCAGCTATATAATGGTACATCTTGCTGCTTTTAAACGATAAATAAATATTATGCAAATTATGAGTTATATATCTCTATATATATATATACTGAAAGTACAGAGGTAGTGTTTGCCTCAGAAGCCCGTGGCCAAACATTTCAAACTCGTACAAATATTGAAAAATGTCAAGTGCTTTCTTTAAACAACATCTGGCTAAAAACTCATCTACAAGCACTTTATATTTTACAAATATAGTAGTTTTGTACATCTTTGAAAATAAAAATAGGTGGAGTATGTAAGCTAAGCACTCCTATTATTTATTTCAGTGGGAGCCACTATTATCAAATATGTTTTGTAGTCATACCAAATCTCTAAAATACCTGTGCAAATATTTCTCTTACCTCAGACCAATGGTTAGCAAGCTGAAGCTGTTTCGGGAAGTAAAATATCGAAATTTCCTAACTTAATGAAATACTAGGTTTTGAGGATACAAAACCTGACATCATCTTGAAAAGTGTTGTGTGGGGTCTGTGCCAGACAATCATCCGTAATGATTTCAAGTAAATTCATATTGGTAATTGATGTTTATGTAAATGCAATTTTTATTCAAGCGGTTGCTTCGGAAGCACAGGATCGACGAAAAACAAAGCATATTTGATCTTCAACTCACTCGTAATGAAGGCGACATGCGACAATGCATGAAACATGACTCCATCATTTCAATCCGAAGTCCAATCGATGATCCTAGTGGGCGGCTCCACACTCCTAATGAAAAGGACAAAACAGCCTTGGACCGACATATCGCCTTCAAATGGCAACTATATTGAGTAATAAAATTATATTCCGATCGAAAAATGCGTTGAAGCCAAACAAGCTTTTCTGCAAACTTGGCATTTGTTGACTTCACAAAAAAATAGTAGAATTGCACAATACAGTGCTGTTGATCCATAACTTCGTATGTGAATATTTCGTGCTTCTTAATTAATCAATTCAAAGTTTCACTCCAAACTAGATTTCCTTTATTGTTAAAACTATATTTGAATTGTTTGTTAAATTTAATAATATAGGAAAGCAATAGTTATAGCAATTTATAATATATTTCGATCATTCGTTGATGCCTATTTTTCAACAAAATTATGAAAACTCTGATATAACCAATTATACAAATTAATATGTTTAGTATAAATAGAAATATAGGGACTTTAGAGTATATTTATATGTATTATATATTTTTATACCCTCAACAGGGTATGTGCAGTTTGAAATGAAGTTTGTAACAGCAAGAAAGAAATATCGAAGATCCAAAAAAATATTTTTTGGGTAGTTGAAAAAGTTTTTTCGTTTTTCTAATCAATCTTCAACTTATATTTTTTTATATTTATACTAATAACAAATACTTGTATGTACAATTTTGGTCGACCATTTTTTACCATTTTTCCGCTGGAGCCATTATTCCCTCACTGTAAAACTTTCATCAGTGTAAATTAAAATTTCGAAATTTCCAGAACGAAAACGGGATAACCATGGTTATGCTATACTAACTGATACAGCATCGTCTCCGAAAACTTCAAAAATTTCATTGGTGGCTTGCGTGACATTCTTCCCTTTTTATACAACAACTATTCAATACAGTGAAAATTTTATTTAAGAATAAAGGCGAAAACGTTGGAGGTTTAATTTTGAATAAGTTCATACAAGTTCAGAACTAAATAGAGAAGGTAACATCTTCTATAAGAGTGTACAGCTGCTGGCGTATGCCGATGATATTGATATCAAACAAAACACAATAACACAAAGGGGTGTGAACGAGGGCAAGACGAAATATCTCATGTCATCAAACAAGCAATCGTCGCACTCGCGACTTGGCACTAACGTCACTGTTGACAGTCATAACTTTCAAGTCGTAGATAATTTCGTCTATCTTGGAACCAGCGTAAACACCACCAACAATGTCAGCCAAGAAATCCAACGCAGGATAACTCTTGCCAACAGGTGCTACTTCGGACTGAGTAGGCAATTGAGAAGCAAAGTCCTCTCTCGACAAACAAAAACCAAACTCTATAAGTCACTCATAATTCCCGTCCTGCTATATGGTGCAGAGGCTTGGACGATGTCAACAACGGACGAGTCGACGTTGCGTGTTTTCGAGAGAAAAGTTCTGCGAATTAAAAGACAGCGGCTACGCAGGCTAGGTCATGTTGTCCGGATGGACGAAAACACTCTAGCTCTGAAAGTATTCGACGCAGTACCCGCCGGGGGAAGCAGAGGAAGAGGAAGACCTCCCCTCCGTTGGAAGGACCAAGTGGAGAAGGACCTGGTTTCACTTGGAATATCTAATTGGCGCCACGTAGCGAAAAGAAGAAACGACTGGCGCGCGGTTGTTAACCCGGCTATAATCGCGTAAGCTGTGACTACGCCAATCAAGAAGAAGAAGTTCATACAAATAAATTTCATTGGAAAAAATTACGAATTTAATACTGTTTTCTCAGCGTCGGGTTACCAGCCTTTCTGTGCAGTTAATAGAGTTGTTCACTTAATAGATTATACTTAATAAACATCAACAATGTGCATGGTTAATGAAGATGTCCGCTTAATTCGCGTCCATTTAATAGAGTTTTCACTGTATTTTTTCATTTATGAATTATATTTACTATTCTATATTCTAAGTTGGTTCGATTTGGGCACAGCGTGCTAAATTTTGCAAAAATCAGTTCAGTAGTTTGGGAGTTCATCGCTGACAAACAACGTGACACGTACTTTTTATATATGTGACCTGGTCTACGAAAAGGGAGCTAATGTGCGAAAACTAGTTCTCTGGGAAACAGCTGTTAAAAATCTCATCTTCCATCCGAATTAACTAAAAAGTGAAAATTTATTTTTTGGATTTTTTGACACCTAAGCCCCCTTTCCGTAGGCCAGGTCACATATATGTAGATTTCTAAATATAGCCAATATTTTCATTATTTTCACTCATTTTTCAATAGTTGTAACTTTTTTTCAACTTAACCTATTTTTCTTTTTTTTTTAAGAAACTTGAAATATCACTTCTCCAACACATACCATATAACCACATTGTGATTAGTAGTACTGGAGATATACGAGTACGACTGCAACGACATCTATTGGCAAAATACGAAGAGACTCTTTCGACTGGCAATAAATGTATATAATTTATAAGCTGGGTCCAGTATTGTATATGGCTTTTATAAAAATTAATCGATGAAAATCAAGTTCTTGTAAGAAAATTTTAGTTTTGACAATATAATTTCACATAGAATATTTAATTTTATATCTAATTTAACATAGAATATCTTACAAAGAAACGCCATAATTCCCGCAAATATTTTTCAGACCGAAGAACTAAAGCACATGGCTGTCTTACAAAGAGACCGGTCAAAACCAAGATACAGAGTTTTTTAACCCCTGATCCTTTATAAAATATACCAGTGAAGAGTATTAACGCTTTGGTGCAACTGAAGTTAATGTGTTTCTTGTATTCCGTCTAGGTAATTGGAGATTTGCAAATAAACAAATAAAGACAACACTATTTAGACAAGATAATTTGGCATTTAAGATATATAATTTGTAAACTACAGCTGATTTTTAAACTCACGCGCAAAGCGCAAAAGCTACTAAAATAATACCGATTATAGTTAATGCTTATGAAATCCTCGGCAGAAAACTTGAATATACAGAATTTCGCAGCAATTACCAACGAGCTGGACAATGAACTATTCAATTCAGGCAGAGAGGTATTTGCACTTTAACAAGGTGAACAAATGTGAGAAGAGCATCAATGCGCATGCACACAAGCAAACGCTAAATTTTTCATTAACGCTTTTTTTTTTAACATAATTTTACTTATTTCCAATGAAACATCATTCAAATGCACATCTTAGTTAATTATACGCCGAATCAGCTAAAGAGTACTCATTATCGCACAATCACTTATAAATCTCTTATACCAGGTGGCAGGCTTGTAGTGAATTTCAGTCGCTACAAGCTTAGCCCCTTCCAAAATTTTACGCTTCTGCTTTTGCAACTGCTACTACCAAAAGAACAAATAAAAAACGCAGAAGAAATGCATATTAATTGTAAAAGAGGAGTCGAGTACCACGTAAGCACTAACTGGCGTACCGTGGCATTAAATCTTAGCTAACACCATGCCCTTTCGAAGCCAAACCCAAACCGCAGTCATAATTCAAATTCACTAAATAGAAATTCATATAAAAGAGCAAGGGCTCGCTAATAAGATACTAAAGAAACAGCAGCAAGAAATGTAGCCTACGCGCACGATTCAGTGGAAGGCGGCAAGCATAAGGCCACGCTCGCCACACGCACACACGTTTACACGCCGCCTCTGATCGTTATCAGCAACGGCTAGAGTTTTATTAGCGCTTTGACTCGTTTACTTTTTTATTTTAATTATTATTATTATTTTTAGTGTTGTTGTTTTTTGTTGTTCAATGCATAGGTATATATTTGTGTGCTACTGTTGCCGTGGAAGGTGTAAAATTGCAATAAAATGAACTCGTGTTAGCAGCTAAAAGGTGCTGCGTGTAACAACGCCTCCCAGCGTATACCGTCTTAACACAAAAACAAACATAAACACACACATAAATATAAGCATATTCTAAGAGTTATTATTAAATATCAGACTTAAGAATCCATCTTCACTTTTCCTTTTGTTGTCTTCTCTAAGTGTGCGGTCAAGGAAGTGTAAAATATATCTACGTAAAGGCTTCAAATGCCGACAGTGTGCAACCGACGATTTTAAGAAGAGATTATAAATGGTTTGGGCTTCACTTTGGCGCGGGGAAAATAACAATAATTATATTGCGATAATAGAATATGCGCTTTTGCGGCATAAAGTGAATTAAATTATACACCGAGAGGAACACGCACGTAAGCGCATGTAAATAGCCAGAGGTTATAAGTTAAGGTTATAGTTTAACAGAATTAGCATAGCTATGATAAAAGGTAATTTTAAGCAAATCTAATAGGCATACGTTTAATTTTTATTTTATGTTTTTGCTTTTTGCTTTTTGCACTAGAGAGTTAGTCGTGAGTCTGTAATACAAATGAAGCATAAAAGAAGAAAAAATGCTAACTTCGGTTGAACCGAACAAATATAAAAATTTCGATGCAAGGACATGATTTTGATCGCTCAGTTTGACTGTCAGTTGTATATAGTAGGCTATAATATTTCAATATCGGTGAATCCGACAATTAAGCAGCTTTTTGGAAAATAAGTGTGGGCTAAAATTTTAGATCGATATCTAAAAAATTGAGGAACTCGTTCGCAATTGCGGAAAGTGCTCTGAGCGCCATTCCTTTACGAATAGCCAGAAACGATTATTTTACATACAAATAACTGAAACAGCTCACAACTTCCGGTTTTCGACCAAGTATCCTCTGAAAAGCCAAAAAACGGCCGTTTGAAGGCGAGCGAAAGGTGAAACATCTCTTCCCCAGTGTTGTGCACTGGGTTTGGGACCCGCCACGTAAAAAATACTACCAATGAAAAGAAAACAACAGCCTTGAATGAGATATAAAGTAGAGGCTTACATCAGCGCCATCCTAAAAGTGCGGTATACGGGACAAGGACTTAGAATTTACTACAGTGGCCACATCAAGGAGCGTGAATTCGGCGTGCAATTCATGGTGGGAGAGAGTGAAGAAGTGCGAACGATTTTCTACTCAACTTCCTCTCTGAGAGCACTCATCAGCAACTCCGGGACTATGGGACGGCATTTCAAGGTCCTAATGAACAGCTGAAAACAAAACTATTGGTATTCGGACAAAGCCAAAGAACAGCTGGTACGATGAGCAGTGCCGTGTCGCAGTGGAGAGAAAACAGACCGCCTACCGCGCAACGTTACAATCGACCACAATAGGTGCGGGTATAGATACTGAGGGTTGAAGTGGGAAGCGAGACGAAATTGCAAACTGAAAAGGATAGAGACCGAAATGTTTGAGCACCAAGAATTTGACAATTTGGCCGACAGGGGTACCGCTCGAAAATTCTGTCAAAAGATGCGGCGACTAACAGAAGGTTTCAAGACCGTAGCATACTCTTGCAGAACCGCAAGAGGTGAAATTACTGAAATTATGGAGGGAACACTTCTCCGACCTGCTGAATGGTAGTGAAAGCATAACACCAGGAAAAGGTGAACCGGATTTAACTAAAAACTGCAGAGCCTAACAACAAGAACGATGCGAAGTTAAAATGAAATAAAACACTTAAATCTAGTCAAAATTTATTACATTTTTTGTCTTTGTTTGATGTTGTTGTGCAGTTAATTCTATGGCATTTATGATTTGAGCGAAATATCCATTCGTCTCTGTTTGCCCTCGTTTACGTTCCTGATGACCCAGTGCAGCATTTCAAATGGAACTTTGGCTGTAGTATGCTGGAGAGTACGAAAGTAAGAACGGCGATCAAATTTGCTAACTCAAAATATAAACAATTTTAATTAAATTTCTACCACTGCCAAAAACATTTGGGTCCTCAAGAACATACACACTTTGAAATTTTTGAAAACTCACCATTGTATGTTATTATTCTGGTTTATATGACTAAGATATTTTGTATTTTTATATGCAATCCTTTTTGGTATACTTCTTCGTAACTTGCGTCACAAAATAATTGTAAATCCAATTGAGCATGGCAAATTCGGAATTCGGTATTCAAAGCTAACAAACAAAGCAAATGAATCACTTTTCGGGAATCCACAGAGTTGCTGTGAAAGAAAATTTTGAGTGGCCTTTTTTGTGATATATACATACTCACATGTATACTTACACGTTTTATTAAAAAAAACACATACATTTATTTGCTCTCATGTAGTGATTGAAATTTCAATAGCAGGGCAAAAAACTACGTGTTGATAAGCAAATCGCTCACAAGCAAAATTCATTTCTTAGCATTCTTAATTGAGCAAATGCTAACGGCAACGTACACCAAATAGCCACACTGGCGAGATTTACTTAATTTCCATTTGTCAAATTGTTATAAATAGGTTATGCTGTTTACCCAAAGCTATGCGCAGCGCTAAACGTTATCGAGCGTCTAAGCGCTTGTTAGTCATCCAGGCGTACGAAACCATACACAGCAAACAACAACAAATGTTGCTTTGCGCAAAATTTCGTATTCAATCATTTGCGGTGGTGATGACTTCATAATTATTTTTACTACATTTTATTATTTATAATTAACAAATTTCATTGTATATGCAGGTAGTAGTAGTAATGTCTTTTTTTTATTGTTGTTTTTTCTCCACCAGCTTTATACGTTGTGCGTTTTTGTTGTTTATTATTTTCTTGAAAAGAAGAAGACGCTGCTTGAAGTTCATCTGCGTTTCCGTGATGCTCGAGCAAATACAGTTATGTGCAGAATATTAGAAACGCAATAGTTAAGAAAATTTTATATTATTATGAGCAAACCGACTTACAAAGCCATTAAAATATATTTGTTGAAAGAATTAAAAAAAATTTATTGCAGATTATTAGACTATTTTTAGCATTAAAATCTTACCATGTACAACAATAAATATGTCAATAAAATAATTTTTGAAAAATAAACAACAGCATAGGATATGGTATCCCCTGTTGATGACGACCACGGCAAACGCATTAAAGATTACGACGTGGAAAGTCCGTTCCCTTACTTCGGAAGGTGTCGCTGCTCAGCTGGTTGATGTCCTCTTAAGAGTAAATGCTGACATCAACGCCGTCTAAGAAATGCGATAGACGGGAAAATTAATCAGACGAGTCGGTCTTTATGGCATTTACTACAGTGGCCATATGAAGGAGAACAAATTCGGTGTGGGATTCGTGGTGGGAGAGAGACTCTTTCGCCGAGTACTGTCATTCACTCCGGTTAATGAACAGCTAGCCACAATTTGCATCAAAGCGAAGTTCTTCAACTGACCGCTGATTTGCGTCCACGCCCCGACTTAAGAGAAGGACGAAGTGACCAAAGATGTCTTTTATGAGTGCTTGGAGCGCACTTATGAGAGCTGCCGCAGCCATGATTTCGAAATCGTGCTCGGCGACTTTAACGCCAGGGTGGGCAAAGAAAGTATTTTTGGCATAAGGATCGGTAAATTCAGCCTCCTGGATGAAACATCCCCAAATGGGTTGAGGCAGATTGACTTCGTTGGGCTTGGAAATATGATTATATGTAATACTAAATTCCAGTATAGAAAATATCATCAAGCTACCTGGCTGTGTCCGGATCGAAAAGCCACCAACCAGATCGATCATGTTGTGATAGACAGATTACATGTTTCCATTGTTTTAGACGTGCGTACGCTCCGAAGTCCTAAAATCGACTCTGATAACTTTCTTGTTGCAGCTAAGATACGCATCCTTCTCTGTGCAGCAGAGAAGCACAAGGAATGTTTGACGTAAAAGCTGCAATCACAACAGACATCCGAAGGATTTTCTACTCGACTTACACTCCTGCTCTCTGAGAGCAGTCATCA